TATATATATATATATATATATATACATATACAAAACATACAAAAATTTAAACAATTGTATTTGTACACGATAAGTTTCTGTATATTTCTTGAATATATCATGACAATACATTTAATTGTATCCTTAAAAGTAAAATAATTTCATACAATTTCGTATTTTTACTCATGCAAGCAATTCCGTTCTGATGATCCATAAATAATTTTGACGTCAGAAGAGGTCAATTCTTTCCCATCAAAATATGGAGGAGGGGGTAATGACAAAAACTTATGAATGAAGTAGACGTAATGAACGTATGTCGATGCGTACGTCGATGTTGTACCACCAAAGAATACGCCATAAAAGGCGATACTATAATTAGATTCTCTGAATTCACCGAACTAAGATTAGAGATCTTCTCACGCCCGATTAAGTTGCGATGCATCGTGACGTGTTATTTCGCGAGCGTATATTATGAACGAAAGAAAACAAATAATGACCCTATTCAAACGCGTATCATATGCATTTGGCGCGATTTCACTAAAATTTCAGTATTTATAAATACAATAAGATAGTCAATTAAATAATGCTTAATGCTTTAATAAATTATTTTGTGAATATAACATTTATATTGTTATGTAAAGCTACAAAAATTGTGCGTATGATCGATGAAAAGAATAATAAGTAAAAAAATGTAACAGACGTTATTGTTTTTAATGATAAAAATCACACACGCAAGTATATTAGTAAAATGAATATTAAAAATTATTTTAAAGAATGCTTATATTTATGTTAAAATTATGATAAAACAAATTGAATTAATGCTCGCATATTTATTTACAAATATACTTATTTATGAATAGAATGAATTGAACAGACAGTACTTTAGCTTTTTACATAACGAACAATTTATTAATGCAGCAGTGGCAGACAGTGAAATTACAGCAAATAAATTATCCTTTATAAACGCAAAATGCAGTGTAGAGCAATTACAACCTATCTACTCTTCGTGTACTCCTATTACAACGTTTGATGCGTCTGGGAAAACCTGTTTATAATGAAACTGCACCATGATGTTGGCCTAATCATTTTACTTATAGAAAAGTAGTAAATTAAATACAGAATAATTTTAAATTTATAAATAAAATACATATAAATTAAATATGATTTTAAAGTTTCCAGTAAAAAGAAGTTGCTTATGCAAATAATTATTAAATAAGTAAAAAATTCGATATTCATGATTATTACAATTACGCTTTTTTGTCTTTAAAATAATATATAGCTAAATATATCTTTAAATAAATGTTATAAATAAAGATAATTATGTCACTATATGCGAAAGCAACAACAAAGTAGCATTGCGATATAGCAATATTTATAGCATGTATATAAATATATAATAGCAGTTATAAAACAACTAATGCTATGCATTATTGAACTGCTTATCTAGTTAATCGCTTAAAATATTGCTGCGATGAGTCATGTTTATTGCATTTTCAATAGCATATTCTTATCTACGTTATTTCCAGTTATATACATTAACGATAACGATCGAATGTTATGCAGAATGAACATCCTTCATGCATTCCTGATACTTCCGGTTAAATGTTCATGTAAAACGAACGTAATTTACAATATTGTCGAAATTAAATTATTACGTGGATTATAAAGGATTATATCTCTGTCCAAACTTCAGTTCGATACAAAACATTGAATTTATTCGAGATGATCACAATAAGTAAAGACATGACAATAAATAGTATATGCAATGGTAACGTGATACAATAAATAGAACAGAACACTATGCATATACGACCGAATAAATATTCTATGTGTATTGTATAAAATGCATTATGACCTTAAATTTAAGTGCGCGTCTACGAACAATTATGCATCGCGTCATGTGCATACATAGTACAAAAATATGCGTAACGCTAAGTTATGAACG